AATTTCATCAATAACACTAACATAATAGTGGTAACAGGTAACATTTATTGAACAGTTAGTATATGCCTGGTACTCTTGAGATGCATGAGTCATTTAATCCTCTCAATGATTCTTACATACACACATTTCAAACTGGATCACAGATATACAATATTGGATTAATCATAAGCCACAGTATCATGACACAGTCTAATGGGTGGGCCCAGCACAACCTGCCTGTATTTAATTAGTTATTATTAACAGTATAAGTACCTAAGAATCTACCAGCAAGACACAAGGTAGGACCCTGTCAATAACCTGTATCTAATCATATGACTCCCTCATCAGAGGTAACTATCCCCCTGTTATATCCTCTGTATCATCACCCTACATCCTCTGTTCATCACTCCCTTGCTTTCTGTTTTACAGTTTTATTGCACCTATTTTTTGTTAAAAGTGAGCTGTTTATTTTAGTGATTTTTACCTTTATTAAAAAAAAAAAAAACATGGTGAATGTTAATTTATAGGACTTACTTTTCACCTCTTCACTTAAAACTAATTTGTGCTACTCTGCATTGCTATAATTCATTGCTTCTGACTCTGGTATAATACCATAGGGTTTGTTTGTTCACTCTCTCTGTGTTGGGTATTTGGGTTGCTTCCAGGTTTTTGATATTGTGTATAGTGCTGCAATGAATATTCATATCCATGCTCATAACTCATGTGCACACAGGCAAGGTTACTCTCTGAGTACAGGAGTGGGCCTGCTGGGTTCCAGGGTACATGAACACACAATCATAGAAGGCAACGCCTCGCAGGGGACGTCCACTTACATTCCCACCAACTCTGTAAAAGGATCCTGTGGGTCCACATGTTCATCAAGACTTGGCATCGTCAGGCTCAATTTTTGCTGATGGATAAGGCATAAAATGGTAACTCATCGTCTTCATTGGCATCTCCATGACCCCCATATGCTGTTGAACATTTCTGCACACATGTGCGGGACCTGTGTGTTCGCTCTTCTACGACATGCTTGTCCATTCTCCTGCTACTTTTTCTTCTGACTTGCGGTGTTCTCACTGACTATAGTTACTGATATATTTTTTACTCGAATGCTATTAGTTGTATGGATTGCAAATAGATTCCTCCAATTTGTAACTTATCTTTCCAGCTTTTTTAAGGACTCTTGATAAACACAAGTCCTTATTTTTAGTCAAAATTACTTTTTTTCTAGTGAATGCCTTTCACTGTCTTATTGGCCTTCCTTATCTTAAGGTCTCCAACTTTTTTAAAAAGGATTTTAAGATTTTGGCTTGGATATGTAAGTCTTTAAACCACCTGGAGTTGACTTTTTTTTAATGTGGCATGAGGTATAGACCCAGTTTAATCTTTTTCCAAATGGATTTTCTCCAGCTCCATTTACTGAATGGTGGTCTCTCTTCCCCAGCTGACAAGGCACGTCCCTTCTGCTGTATGTCAAAGTTCCCGCGGGTCTGCCTCTGGACTCTATTCTATCCCATTGGCCAATTTATCTCTGCCTACCGCTAATACCACACTGGTTTCATTTCCATAGCCTCATAAACCCTGATGACTAGAAGACAGTCTTCCGGCTCTGCTCCTCTTTTTCATTAGTGTCTTGTCTTTCTTTGGCCATTTATTTTCACATAAATTTAAAAATCATCTTATTGAGTTTCATAAAAAATTCTACAGATTAATCTTAAAAGGAATTGCCGTATCGCTGATATTAAGTCTTCCTATCCTTTGACCTATTATATCTTTCCATTTATTTACGTCTTCTTTCATACATATTTTAATTTTACCCATAAATCTTGAACATCTTTCATTATTTCTAGGTACTTGATAGTCTTTGACACTATGTAAATGCTACCTTCTCATTATGTTTTCTCATAGTTGTATTCCTGCATACTAGCAGTCGCTCTTTGCTAAACTTTCCTATTAATTCTAATAACTTGTGTAAATTACTTTAGTTTTTTAACATAAATAATCACATCATCCAACAACTTGATTATCATTTCTAATTTATAGGTGAGAAAACTGAGACACAGAAGGATTACACATTAAAATCAACATCTCAAAGAGATACCTGCACTCTTGCGTTCCCTGAAGCATTAATCACAGTAGCCAAGAGACAGAAACAACTTGTATGTCCACCAACAACAAACAGATAAAAAAATGTGGTCTCTGCATACAATGGAATATTACCCAGCCATAAAAAAGAGGAAAATCGTATTCACAAACATAGATGAACCTTGAAACAGTATGCTAAATGAAACAAGTCAGTCAAAGAAGGACAAATACTGCATGATTCCACTTATATGAGGTATCTGAAGTAGTCAAACTCATAGAAGCCAAGAAGAGAAAGGTGATTGCCATAAGATTGGGGGAGAAGAAAAAAGGGGTTGTTGTTCAATGCATACCGAGTTTTAATCATACAAGATGAGAAGTTCTAGGTATCTGCTGTACAATGTTGTGCTTACAGGTGACAATACTGTACTGTACAGTGAACAATTTGTTTACAGAGATCACATGTTATATATTTTTTTAATTACAGTTTTAAAGGAAAAAAAAAAGTTAAACAGATAGCCCACAGAAACACAGCTGACAAATAGTAAACTGAAATCCAAATCCAGGCAGCCTGAACTTTCAATTACCACGTTATACTTCTTGCTATCATGCATGTGAAAAACAATATACAAACACAGAAATAAAATTTTACGTATTTTCTATTCATAGATTGAAGAATTTCCATTTTTATATTTATGCTGCAAGAAAACTGTTCATTAAGGCTACATATGTAATAACTTATTGGAAAGTAAGAGTAAGATATTTTTTAATTCTTTACATTTATCTAACCTAGTGTCATTTTTATATCTTTATGATTAACTCTTTTTCTAATTGTTACGTTTTCGTCAACACATAAAATCATTTTTAAAGTTCTACTATCAGAAAATGTCACTTCTCTTTCAGCCAAAGTCAGAATTTCATACATTTTAAAAATAAATAATAGGCATTGTAATAACAGCCATAATGTGTAACACTAAATTCCCAATGATAAAGGGATGAGCTGTTTAAGTTATATATTCAGTTGCAAAACGGTAATTTAAAACAGGGAAGTATAGTGGCAAATTGTTTAAGTGATAGACATTAAATTTAACTTTAATCAGCTAAAGAAAAGGTGTTAAAGAATGATTTTTTCTTTTTATAGTTAATGAAAGTATTTTCTAATACCAGTAATTTTTTCCATTTCAGTTTTTCACTCTGACTTACTGCTTGGCAGACGCTGGCATTCCTGGTCTGGGTGATTCCTCCCACAAAGACCACACAGGTTAGGAAAATATGAAAGCACAAGTTCACAAGCATGTGCCAGCTCTTGAGGCTGATTCTAATCAAACTGTTTAAAAAAGAGAGAAAATATTAATATTCAGGCTAGGACATATGAAGGAGGAAACTATGATGTTCATCTTAAGTTAATTCCAACTTCATCAAAGGCAAAAGTTAAATATTTGATATTTAAACACTTTATTTCACAAATATATACTACCAGACACACACACACACACACACACACACACACAGATCTGAGAAATCATTTAACCTGAACTAGTTTCTTAACATTTAACTTTACGCACTTAAAAACAAAAAGCCATTTATAGAACCACTGCACCCACTAAATGCTAAAGAAATTCTCCACAATAAGAAACGCATGAGCTTTTGTTACTATGATGTCTTAAGATGACTGGATTACCTGCTTG